TAAGATATTTGAATCAGTCCAATTTGCTAAATCTGGTAATAGAGCAGGTGTATGTATTCATTTCTGTCATATCCATAAAAAATAGACGAGTCCCAGAAAATGTTGACTATAGAGATGTTTTGTTTCCATTGATTCTCTCTTTCTCTGCTATATTCTCTGGCACTTGGTACAGGCCTGTCAGATCTGTAAACCAAAACATTAATGTCTCCTCAGTCTGCATAATAATCTGATTATGACTGCATGTATTTAGTTTCACTGAGCATTGTATGAGACTACTGGCTATGAGGCAGTGTGACTCCTGTATCTTGTTGTCTGTGAGCAGTTAGTGTGGGTGTTGCACTGTGACATGGTGTGCCTCAACTACGACGGGAACATCACTGATGCCTGTGTCCTGGCTCTCCTCGCAGCCTTCAGAAACAGTGAGTCAAGAATCATTTTAACAGTGTTGAGCAGATGTATCAGCCAATATAGGTACACACTGCAGTGCATAGGTTATCCTGCAGGTCTGTTTCAAAACTTAGTTGGCTTACTCCTGTGTTGTAGATTCTCGGCAAACTAGTCATTGCTCATCTGAGCAAGGTCACAACTTGACTTAGGTCAGATGGTCGTTATCAGGTCATCATGGTGTACTGAGAACCAAGTTTGATCTTGGCTTCCTCCAATACTGACAGCAGCAGCTAGAATTTAGGCAACGGATCACGAGCAGGAACCAAGCTACTGAATAATAATGTAGCCAGTTGTAGAGGCTTCTCCATTATTCTCCAGTATATGGAGCAGCAGATTATAAGAGTTTAATGATGAATTTTGAAGTCTGCCAAGCTTGCATTCATCTTAACTTGTCACCTGCTGTGGAAAACCCTTGAAGTGGTGGGTTTTGTCCAGCTTTATGTCATGTAATAAGAGCACAGTGAATGTAAGACAGATTGCTGTTTATTAGCCAAGGTGAAAAGAAATAATTTAAACAGGAGATATGGTCTTTTGTTGCAGCCCAACTGCCAGGTGTGCATGTCAGCGAGGAAACAGAAGAGGTGGAGACTGACCTGAGGAGTACAGACCCCCTGCAGCTCCGAAGTCTCCCGGTCTCAACCACTTTCAACTGCTTTGATGAGTGAGTGTTCTTCTCCTATTGCTGTAAGGGTCGGTGGGGTGGCCTAGTGGTATAAGCTTTCGCTCGTCACGCCAAAGACCCGGGTTCGATTCCCCACATGGGTATATTGTGTGAAGCCCATTTTTGGTGTCCCCCACCGTGATATTGCTGGAATATTGCTAAAAGCGGTGTAAAACCAAACTCACTCCTATTGCTGTAACATCATCCACCTTAAACTCAGATTTGAGTTTACACATATATTTCCTCCTATTAGGGCTCACAATACGAAACATATCGCGATATTTTACCTGCAACACGATACATACAACTTGAAAGAATGACACGGTATCAAGATTTAAAATGATTTATTTCAAGGTATTTGTGTTTAACAATAACACTATTGTAATAAACAAACAAGGAACTCCATCATACTTGCATATATATTTTCTAAATATGTACTGTAACATGTTTAAGATAATACTGTTTTGAAAAAAGTTGTGTATCGTTTTGTATTGATACACCAGTCGAGGATACGATAGCTTAAATGTATCGCAATGCACTGATGCATCGGTGAATCGTCCCAACCCTACCTCCTATTAATGATGTAACTAATCATTGGTGCTCTTTCAGCCACATCCTGTTTGTAGACCCTACAGCAGATGAAGAGAGCTTAGCCACTGGAATGATCACTATTGTAACTGCTGCTGACAACATGTGCATGCTGCACAAACCAGGTATGTCTAGGTGTGACTGATTATGTAATCAGCCATTAGCATAGGCTTGCTGTTCATACTATCAACCACCGGTTTGCTTGTCCTATATTATAAAGTGTACAGGCTGCTGTGATGTACTGAAATATTGAATTCTGATGTTGTTTGACAGAAAATATGAATTCAAAACAATTCATTTTTGTGTTATATTTCCTGAAATAATATCTGTTTTCAGTTATGTATACCTGCCCTGAAAGTGATGCATGTTCTCTGACAGTAGTGTTGGTGTTTTCAGGTGGGAGTCCCCTTACTGAGAGCCAGATCCAGCAGTGTATCAACAGAGCAAAGACTCGCAGTCAACAAGTCCTCAAACTCATTGAAGACACCCTTGTTAGTGTGGATAGATAACATTAAACATTCATTACTCAAACCGTATTGTTTTAACTTGAAGCTCCACCTTTAGAAATCTGCTGTCCTCACTGTTATAGGTGCATAATGACAGTTTACATACATAGCAATCATACATTATTATGAAAGCAAATCTGTTCAAAGTACAGCACACCCAGGTTGTCACTTTGGTAACCAGAAATTATGAAATATTGGCAGGTAAACATACTGTTTTCAGTGTGAAGCTATGTTACCTGTAGGTTTTATTCTGAACTTAAGCTCAGTGTGAGGGTTCTAATGTTAAACAGCTCATCACATTATCAGGTATCCATACTTAACACTGAAAACAGGAGTGAACTCATCTCTGTTCTATTATGGCACACGTCGTCATATGAGCGAAATATTCTCAAGCACGACAGTAAAACCCAATTTCACCTCACCTCTATTATGGCACTTGCTTACTGATTTTTAAGTGTTGGCCAACATGTTGAGTGAAGCAACAAGAGTTGACTGTTTTCAGTGGGCTGTCTGACATAGGGAAATATCCATAGTACGCTTTAACAAAGTTTGGTAATGTGTATGGTCAAATGTTCAGTGGGCTGTCTGACATAGGGAAATATCCATAGTACGCTTTAACAAAGTTTGGTAATGTGTATGGTCAAATGTTTTGGATATCGTTATTCTCGACTCATATAAAACGGGCATTGAAAGTGTGTAGCATGGCATCATTTGTGTTTAGTTCAACATCACCCATCATATTTCTTGTCATAATGTAGGAATGTATGAAGTCAGTCATCGAAGGGAGACAAATTTCAAACTGTTTGATTTGTAAAACTTGAACTGCACTCTTAGTTAATAAAAGTTGTGTTTTCTCCCCAAAATGTATTACAACTCTACTTTTCAATGTTAACTTAACTCCGCATTTTTGTAACAGATCATAGTTTGATAAAATGGATTTCTGACATGATGCAACACTCAAATATGCTGTTTAGTTTAAAGGTGGCTATTTAGATATAGTACCCTTGATCAATCAACATAAAGTGATTGTTCACACCTTAAGTCTTGAATCACGCAAATGAAATTGTTGATCAAAGTAACTATATATGGTTATTTGCTTGGTATATTAAAACTTCAGCTGAACGCACCTGTACAAAAAGTATAGATTCAAAAGAGCTGAAAATTCACATGGAACCTGTGTTTCCTCAATCAAGGTCTCGCAAGAAATACAGGGCTCTAATTGGTTGTATTTCACATACTACAGATTGCCATCAGTTGGCGGGTCAGACTAAGCAAGATGGTTTGTTGCATGCAGCAGTTACTTCTTAGTTGCTGTTACTATCAACCACTTGTCTGTCTCATCCAGAACTGAATATTCAGAGGTTGCCATCATTAGCAGAATATGCTTAACAACAAGTGCTTCATCTTCTCTCAACACCACATGGGCAGTCAGACAAGCTGTTCTTTTTTCTGGAGGTAGTATAAATGATAAATAAAAATATCATATCAGGTTTATTTCATAAAATATACATATTGAGATGGGAACCACATGGATGAAACATTCTAGGGGCATTTAATGTCTGGCAGTGGGTGAAGATAATATCTATTATGTGGCACAATGTTAATATGAAGGCTTTTATTTGAATAAGCAATGCTGAATGAACAAGACTAGACTGAGGTTTACTCACAGAGGACATGTCTTATTGCAGTTACACAAATAAGTGAAGAAAACTGAACTCGGCTTTGAACACTTGTGTTGTTCATTGCCAACCACAGCAATATTCGAGCCATATGACAGCTGCCTGTAAATAATCAAGTCCAGACCAGACAATCCAGTGATTGATATCGTGAACAAATATCTTCGCCATGCGGTACAATGACATGCCATCAAGCAAGTAACTAAGCATGTCCACCCAATTTGTTAAGTTGCAACTTTTTGACCAGCATAGTTTGCTGGGATCAGTCCTAACTGGAACCCCAGTGGAGTACAGCTACTGTCAAAAGTTGATATTTACCACTTGAAACCAATCTGGTACTGTTCAATGACAAGGCTCATATTCAGAACAAACCCACATTTGGATCCAGGCACTGTTTCTGCAACTGATATACCACATTCAGTAGTATCCTGACATCCCTAAATGACTTAATATTATTTGGTCAAACCCAAAGTTGACAGCTTGAGCAATGATCTTGGGGGCATGATAATCAGTCACACCGACGGGTTCTCACAAACTGGTTGCTTGTCTTAATGACTGTATTCTAAAGGTGACCAATCACGGCATCTGAAGATCAGGCCCCAATCCTCAAGTCGAGTTTAGTTAAGTTAGAGTGCTGTATTCTAAAGGATGCTCATACAATGTCATCCTGGAAACATCTTTGAAGAACATCAGGATGCTCCTAAACACAGTGATCTTGGAGACCATCTATGCATGGCATGATATCAGCAGCACGGCAGGAAATGGGAAGGCATGATAGCGAGGATTTCACTACATATGACATCATATTGAAGATCGCTACTGTATAGTGCATGATTTGGTAAATGTTAGCCACATGGCATGATATTGAAGATATCAGTTACATATGGAATGGTATGGAGTTAACAGCCACCCATGTATATATGATACCGGTAACATCTGCTCCACTTGGTACGATGCTGGAGATATCAATTAAGTCAGTATATTCCATGTTGAAACATTTATGAATTTGTCACCAATGCTATTTGATAAAGTTTAACATTGAAACAAGACTATGAGCAACCTCAATGTACTACTTCCCCTGTAATTCAGTGATCGGCTCAAACAGATAAGCAAGACTTGTCATAGCAGCAATAACTTTAATGGCCATTTCTCACAGATCCACCATCTTGAGATCACAGAAGACAAGATAAATGTAGTGCCATCATCTCTGACACAGAAACAAATATTAAGTCAACACGTCATTCTCGTTTCAAATGTATTTATAAATCAGATGTAAATCTTTTAGACACTTTTGGAGTAACCCGTACGAAAACCATGACAAAAGGACAACAATGCACAGTTACTTGGACTACTCACGCCCTACTTAATGACGCCCCACTGTGTGTACATGACCTGTGTGAGGAAACCATACATCTGACTCATAGTTAACACTAGTGGTGGTCCAATTAATTGAAATAATCGATGATTGGTCGTAATGACTAAACGACCAAGCAATCGATCATGTTTTCTCAAAATCGAACACAAACAATTCTGGAAGTTATGGAACACTTGTTTGCATTAACAATATTTTTCACAAGGTTGGTTTTGTCTGTTACATTTCATAAGCACTACAAGCTCATACCAAGTCACTACAAAACAGGTAGTTCTTTCGGGCTTTTTTCGCAAATGCATTTTGTGCAATTTGCAACAAAAACCCAAAAAACTACCTGTTTTTTCTTTATTTTTGGTGCATTAACAAACATAACCAGGAAAATTTGATAAATGACACTAACCAATTATCTTCGGTGATTGATCGGTTTTACTGAAACAATCCTCAATTATGAGATTTTAACCAATTCCCAACACATTAACAGATAGTGTCATGTTTTCATACAACTGTGGGTCTGCAAACTTATCCTGAAGACTTAATAAGAAACAATTGTCATAATGAAATGAATATAATGAATTCTAAACAGTAACATTGCTAACAATCTTTGATGACATGTTTACAAGCTTGTTCACCCAGCACATAGCACAACCTCCACCAGAGCCACAAGAAGTGAGTAAATGGTGCTTTAAGCCACATCAGCAATTGGCCAAAAGAAGTATGGCAGGTACAACCCTGGGTGCACACAGTCCACAATACAATGGAAATATACCCACATGTCAATCTCCTGTAGAGGTGTGTTTGTGAGATATGTTTATAGTGAATGTAGAGAGCAGCAGTTATACAGACAAATCAGCTTGTGTTTCAAGATGCAACTTTGATCAAGTTTTGTGCAACTTTGTGTAGACAGAAACTGCAAGTATTTCACACTTTAAAGAAAAAGTAAAGACGCTTTACTGATCATAAGGCTTTGTTTGGAGGGCTTGTGTGTCATATTGAATAACATAAAAAAAAGCAACAGGGTAGTAACTGTTGAAACCTAGAATCTACAGATAGCAACAGAGTAATAATAGTTGGACAATACCGTACAGATGGCACCAGAATCAATGAGCACAGATCACATTCAACATGGTACGAAAGTAAACAATGGTCAAGGCCACACATGGGCTGACTAGCAAGCATACACACTGTAAAATCATGATGGTGCCAATATAGAAATGCATGACTCACAGCACTGAACAAGCGTATTGAACGCAGCATGTGTTTGTCGAGTACAAGAACGAATCATGGTGTCATGCACATTTCAGACAGAAATCATCACTCAATTAATAAAACCAGTCCCTTTTAGAGTCTTTTTTTTTGTAGCAATGTTAACACCTGAAACAAACTGAACTGATATCAGGATAATTTTGTCATCCTATGAACATTTTCCTGACTCTTAAAACCTCCTTCGAACATCACAGATTAAGCCTTTATCGTGTTCTAGGAGGTAACAATGAATATAAAACCAAAACTTTTGAGAACATACGGAAAGGGGGAAAACAACAACTACCTTTAGACTAAAATATTACAGACAACTCAATTCAAAGATGTCATCTGAGGAATACATCAGGAACATTATCTGAAGATGTCAATAGGATGAAACCACTACCATTAACACACAGCTTGAAATCAAAATCCTGATTTGGTTGCGGTTTCCTTTGGCTGCAAATATTTAGGGGTCTGTACATAGATGGGAGAATCAAATATGTGTCCAACCTTCAACTATCAACACCACATTGTTAAATTTACCTCTTGATGGAACAGGAAAACAGGTAAAGAGCAAGTAAGGCCTATCATTGTAAGTCTCAATAATCGACTAGATGTATTTCCTCCAAGGTCAGATTGTCAACATTTGCTTGCATCAAAACTAGTCTAAACTAGATTGTAATATGAACTATTACATCACCATCCCACAGACAAAGGGACTGTTGCTTACAAGCTACAATCAAGGTGTGGGATTGTTTATTGGATGTAGTAAAATCACTGCATCGTTAAAGTAATGATTCATGTCCAGTAGCACATTTGGTAAAATATAACAATTTCTGAGATGTCTGTCCACAGTTGACAAAACTGAGTGAAGGTGATGATGACTAAATGAAATTCATCATCATCCTTCACACAAAGTATCAACTCAATTACCCATAAATCCACTACATTTGTTTAATGCATCACCACTTTATCAGCTGTCCTGAGACCCTTAGTTTGTGAGATGATGCTTAAAAAGTTTCCACAATAGAACATTGTTTCAAACTAAAAACAAGTGTGTCAGGATTGATTTTAACCACTCAACATATACATTAATTTGTTTTCACTAGAATAGGCAAAACTAAATTCTATCAATGTCAATGAGCATGCTGTAAACAAAAGAAGAAAGTTCTATGTATTGGTCACGATTCACATCTTCCTTAAGTGTCAGTCTCATCCCCATACAGACTGTAGTTAAACAGATAACATGTTATCCAGGAAGCTCACTTAGACCTTTGGTTCTCTGAGCAAAAAGCATAAATTCACTTATTAACAAAAACATAAAATATCTCATCTAAGCTGTCCCAAATTGCACTACCGGTATATGTATTACTTCACTGAAGCATTTCATTGTAAGACGAGAGATGAATACATGTAGATTCGTGTAACAAGCTCTGTAAGACCATATATGTATACAATTGAGGTTATTGTACAGATGATGGTGCCATCTTTTTCAAGCATGTTTTGGTGTCTGTGTTGGAAGGAATACTTTGTCCATGGTGAACATAAATACCTGGAAAAAGGTTATACAATTGAATTTTAAAATGTACAAAATTCTGTTGTACATATATGTAGTTGTTTATGTGAATTACTCATATTACAATACAGAAACCAGCACTGATGATGTGAGGACATGCTTAGTAACTGTTACATGTTAGTCATTCTCAGATTACATATTTCTTCTGCTCTTTCCCATATCAGACATGATCCAGTCCTTGTGACCATCTGAGGGAACACATAAAATTCTTAGATAAATTTATAATCAATCAATGATGGTATCTTAGACATCTATAACAATGCAATATTGTACCATATTCCCAGACTAAGTTTTGAAATGATAAAAACAAAGGACTGGTGCAAAAATATTTTTCCAGCTGTATATGTTCACTTCTACACCATTATTCCTTGCTACACAGACTGTAAAAACACATCCCTTTCTCGTATAAAGATTACTGGTACATACTTCTTAATATCTTATGGCCTACACTCAAATGAACCTTTGCAAAGAGTAAATCACTACTAACTTCCTACTCACTATTTTTAGTCTGTATCCCCTAATCTTCCCTTCAACAGCAGCCAATGATCCAGCATACTAATAATTCCCTACTGTTGATGGAAACATAAAACAGTTAATCTGCAAGTTCTTTTCAGTGTAAGAGGATCCTGATGGGTATGTTACAAGTTAATTGCCTTCAATATTTGTGGCCTTCAGTTACCAGTGACATTATTTATGGCTTAGCCTGTCACAAACACACGAGAAAAGACAAAAAGCTGTGAAGTTGAAACCATCTCTGTGCAAATGCGGATTGTCAATCTCAAAGAACAACTGGATATACTGTCGTTTCATTACTGCCATTAGTGTTTTTCTAGTTGTAAATGTCAATATTTAAAGGGATTTCAGCACATGGACAATAAACAGTTCTCATCAAAGCACCATTTCAGTTTTTTCCCCAGCCACTTCAGATTTTTCAACTTGCATCATTTTGATGTGGGTAAAACATAAAATGATGTTGGTCCCAGATAGTAAATCCACAAAAGAGAAGCTTTTATATTCTCTACTTGCTAATGCCTCCGACAAGTGACAGTGTTTGATTTAATGCTGCTTTGATTAGTAATTAGTTACTATGGTTATGCCAATGTCAGTCTATAATAAGAGAGTAATGTGATGTAGGTCTTAAACGTTTACTGCATTGGTGAAACATACAAGCACACGTGTTGTGCACACCAAAACAGGAACATAATCAAGGTGAATCCAAGATTCTAACCCAGTATCAAGCCCTAGGGGATGTAACTCTGCCTAAGTGATGTAACTGCACATTTCAGCACTATGCCCCTGACACAGCAAGTCAAATGGATCTAACTCTTGTCCATACAACTCCAGGGAGCATCAACATCCTGCACTTATACACAGGAATGTATTTACAATATATGGACAAATACCAATAACATAGTTATGTACATATCATCTTAATGCTAACATTTAAAACGGTGAAAGAATGTTTTAAGGCTTTCAGACACATGTCCCATAGGGGCAATGTCAGCTGAGGATATTAGGTTCAAACAGCATCCATGTTTACAAATAAATGTGAAAGTACAATGAAATTGGGATGAATTGACAATGATGATGTTTTTGCTGACTGGTATGGGGTTGTTGGAAACGTCTTCATCCCACATGTACGAGGCAAAGGCAACACATGGACATACAGAATGAGATGAACTGTCAAACAACAGGTTAAGTAAAACTTCATTCATAAAGTCGCATTTATTCTGTTCCAAAATATTTCATCCCAAAATGGTTTGGTGCAACAGAATGCACTTCTGATGTGAATATTGTCAATCCCGGGAACTGTGTAATGACATTCTTGGCAGCTGAAACAAAAACTTCACAGTTAGACTGGCATAACAGGAATTGTGTACAAACTAACTTCTTCAAACTAATATCACACACCATATGGCTGTGTCCTTTCAACTATCTGAAAAAACATTCTTCATCAGATTCTAGTGGTATTAAACATTTTTATTGAAGTAAAACCACACTATTTTAAATATCCTTTAATGATTTCTTATAAGTAGGTGGGGGAAAAACAAGCTAAATTGGCTCTCTTCTCCACTGCAGGTTAGCTAGTATAAAACAAAATATCAGCAGGAAAAAACACATATGACTAAGTTAATTCCTTCTCATTTTAACCAAATTCAGTCAATCAAAAAGCACAGATAAAAATGAGAGTGGCCTCATATATCGTTATTTCCAAATAACACATGTCAGTATCTCATATCAAACTTCTTTGATTGTCTGGCTGATAGGTTTCATTCATCTCAAAAGTATCAAATATAATAAATGACTGGAGTGACATTTGGTATATGGGATGAATGGGATTGTAAATAACATTGCATAAAGAGTCAGTATTTAAAGATAAAATTCAAATTTAGAAACAACAACACGTTACTATCTATACATAAACCCTAATTAAAGGTCACATGCAACATAAAACACAACTTTGCAGATTCTGATACCTTTCGGTATGGACTTACGGATACAAATCATCAAAAATGCAAATTCAACTAATAAAATTGAAAAATAACGCGATGAAAAACCCCCTGTGAAATCGGAGTTCAAACAATTCACTAAATTCAATTCACTAAAGTGGTTTCAACAGCTGTGCTGTGCTGGACTGCAGCTCACAGCGCTTGCGCAGTGAATAGGTTCGCGCAGCTTGGAAGCGGGATGTCCTGATAAGGTCGTGAGCAGGAGTAGTCTAATCAAAACAAATAGAAAATAATCTACTCGTTACATAATTGAACCTTGTTAGGATCTAGATCTACTCAGCTATGTGTCAACCAGTGAGGCGATCGACATTTCAAGACGGAAAACATTCGCTGGCGGTGAGTACTTGGTGAAGGCTTTGATGTGAGCTATGTTTCTAATGTTTTGTTGATATTTCACAGGCTTTACACCATAAACAAAACGCACTGATTTATGGCTCGTGCACCCGAGTTCGGTCTCTGTCACATGATGTAATTACACAGACAGGCAGGTGTGATACTTGTACACATGACATGTTATGATGTCTGTTGTTTGCAAAATGTTATACACAAAAAATGAGCATGTATTCACAAAACCCAACATCTCTATATACACACACACAATGAGCCGTGAGGGTCTCGGCAAATGAACCAGCCAATGAAAGGCTTCGTTACACTTGAGTGCAGACCCACCCGCTCTGACTGGGTTCGGTATCCCGGCTGCTTCGTTTCGAGGGAAGTAAACCTAAGTACAAAATATTGCACTTTTGATTTGCGATTGTATGCTTATAATTTTGTTTATATGTTTTTTCATAATCAGCAATGTATATTATATGTCACGAATAAGTGATAATTGTGTTTTAATTATGTTTGATTTTTTTGGGTTGCATGTGACCTTTAAGCATTGTACAAAACATGGCTCCATTAATCCTGACAGAGTTGCCTCCCTTCAACTGTCATGGTAACTAACCTTGAGGCGTACAGAAGAGATTAAGTAGGATGACGTTTTCCTGGTCGACATCATGAGCCTGTAAAATATTGACTGCCTTAGACACTGTATTACCTGTACCTGGAAGTTAAGAGGAATCAAAATCAGTAAACAATCAACAGGATAAGGTGTATGTGCAGATAGTGAAAACAGTTAGCCCGTTAGTATGATTACCTTGGCTGAATCGAAAGCTTATAAAAGAAGAACTGCTTCATTATTCATACTGATACATTTGTTTGTTTCACCACCATACCTACTTCAGGAAACTCTTCCTGGGGAATAGTTTTACTCCAGAATATCCACGGGGTCATTTCAAAGAAACTTTTTAGAAAATGTGAAAAGTAGTAACTGCTGAAAACTTGGGCTGTAAAGATTTACAAAAATACTGAAATATCACTGGGATGATTTCTACCATGAATTGCCAGGAATCAAGACATAAGGTAGGATATGTCATAATAAAAAATAATAATACCGAAAATTTATAAAGCGCAAATCCAACCACTAAGTGGGTGCTCAAAGCGCTACAAAATAATGTTTGAATAGAGTTTATAGTGCAGTGAAAAGAGATGTGTTTTAAGATGTGATTTGGACGCAGCAAAAGATGGAGACAGTTTTAAAGCGAGGGGCAGATCATGCCAGAGATGGAGCAGAAACACTGAAGATAAAGAACGCTTTCCTAAGAAGCCAGTCTATAAGACATATTGTATCAAATAGATTTATCAAATGTATACTACCCAAAAGAAGTCAAAGAACATTTTTCATTTGCCAGATAATGACAACAGCTCAATAGACATATACAGTACAACCAGAAATTATTGAGAATTTAAAGATTGTAAGGTTTTTTTTCCCACTCATTACTCACGTATTAAATGTGAATATTAGCAGAACATAACTCCAGATTCAAAGACAGGTGAACAGTTAGTATTTTGTCAAGTCACCATGGGCAGCAATGCAGGCTTCAATGCGGCGGGGCATACTACTGATCAAAGAAGTTAGAAAGTCGTGGTCCATGCTGTCCTAATATCGGACCACCTCTTCTTTCATTTCAGCAATATTTGTCAGATTTTTCTTATTGACACTTTCCTTCATAAGTCCCCAAACATTTTCTATTGGATTTAGGTCAGGGCTATAGCTTGGCCAATCTAATAATGTCATATTTTGGGTCCGAAACCTGGCCTGTGAATGCTTTGAACGATGTTTTGGGTCGTTGTCCTGCTGGAAAATCCAAAAACTCCATAGAACTACCGTATATGACCGTCTATAAGCCGATCCATGGATAAGCCGACCCCCAAACTTGACCCTCAAAATCAGTGTCAAAATCATATCTCTCATGGATAGGCCGACCCCCCGTAGCGATGGATTGGCGACCCCAAACTTGACCAACAGAGACCAGAGTACCGGTAAGTATGTTCCATCAGCGGCGAGAGACACCATTACGAGAATATTACATAATAAAGATTACGGTGTTTGTTTACCTTTTTAACGATCACTGCTTGCATCAACAACGAGGCGCCATTTGGAAAGTGGATATACAAGCGTAAGTGTTGGTGAGAATATTACATAATAAAGATTACCCGGTGTATTGTGGCAACATGTGTTTGTGTTCCTTTTATATCCCGAAGATCACTGCTTGCATCAACAACGAGACGCCATTTTGTGAAAAAGTACCATCGGTAAATAAAAACTGAAGTCAACTTTTGTTTCAAAATATATTATTTAAGTGTCCATATTTCATCTATATATATATGACAATAAGAAAAATAGTCCACTAACAATAAACACTGACATTTCTGCAAGAGAGTTCTGAGATTTTCACAAGTCATCGGCCGTAAACCCATCAAATTCCGTGTCACTGTCGATCCACATTATTCAAAGAATTCACTGTCATATATATTGTGTCTACTCACGGATCGAAACGAAGTGTAGTTGACAGAAAATGCATAATATATTTTGCTTCTCTAAATATCATATTTATTGTAGCAACAAACTGGCTTGCTTATTTTACCCCATTCAACAATCACAAACTGATTACCGCCTCGTTCCATGTCACGTGCTTACCACGTTCATGATGGTCCGTATAACCTTAGTGTTGATTATATATTTTTTACATAAAAACTATTACACAATGCTAGGATATATTTTTTTGGGTTAAATAATAGTATTCAATCAATAGAATTCATCCCGTTATATTATTGTGCATGTTTGAACTTGTTGCGGGGAAGCGTGTGCACAGCTGATTGCTATTTCGGCTTTGTTAATGCGAGACAGATCATACGGTAATCTTAATTAATTTATAGAGCAAAACTGTAACTAAAATTACACAATGCTAGGATATATTTCTTTGGGTTAAATAATGGTATTCTGTATTATATTTTACTGATGACTCGTCAGAATTAGATCCCGTTATATTATTGTGCATGTTTGAACTTGTTAGCGGGAAGCGTGTGCACAGCTGATTGCTATTTCGGCTTTGTGTGCGAGACAAATCACGCCGCGGTAATCTTAATCCTGCAAATAAAACAATGCCCAGCAAAAACAACTTATAACTTAAATGGTAAATAATCTTGTCTAGTGATGTTTAATTGCAAATTTGGCGTCTCTACTGACAAAGTCGTCTTCTGTTGTTTGTTCCTTGAAGTGATCACGATGTTGTTTTCTTACCCCTGGAAAAAGTTTGTGAAAAGTGTAACTCATGGATAAGGCGACCCCCTTCTACAGACTGCTTTTTGGTCCTCAAAATTAGAAACTTATAGGCGGTCATATCGTCTCTGCGGTCACATGATGTAATTACACAGACAGGCAGGTGTGATACTTGTACACATGACATGTTATGATGTCTGTTGTTTGCAAAATGTTATACACAAAAAAAATGAGCATGTATTCACAAAACCCAACATCTCTATATACACACACCTAACAATGAGCTTGAGGGTCTAGGCAAATGAACCAACCAATGAAAGGCTTAGCTACACACTTGAGTGGCAGACCCACCACAGCTTGACTGGGTTTGAGGTATCCCGCTGCTTGCTTCGAGGGAAGAAAACCTAAAGTACAAAAAAATTGCACTTTGATTTGCAATTGTATGCTTTATAATTTTGTTTATATGTTTTTCATAATCAGCAATGTATATTATATGTCACTTAATAAGTGATAATTGTGTTTTAATTATGTTTGATTTTTGGTTGCATGTGACCTTTTAAGCATTGTACAAAACATGGCTCCATTAATCCCAACAGAGTTGCCTCCCTTCAACTGTCATGGTAACTCCAACAAATGGATAGGGGTGAAACAGTATACCGTGTTTGTGTATCAGTAGATACTTCATTTCGGTATACTGTAATGAAATCCCCAAATTTGGTATTTTCAGTTTTCGTACCGTCATTTTATCAACCGTTTTAAACCTTTTCTAAAATGTCTATTCTTCTATCCAGTCATGAAATGACAGTTTTGTTCATTCAAAATAACAAAGATTATGGTTAATATTGACAACAATGTAAGGTTTGGCTTTTTGTCAATATTCTGCATTATGATCATTTTTAATATACTAAACCAAAATGGACCGAACCGAAGGCCTTGTACTGCAATATGTACTGTACCGTGGTAAGAGCGTTCAGTTTCACCACTACAGTTGGAATGATGTAAACAACTCACTCATAATAGGGTACATCAGGAGAACTTTTCGTGATGCGATATCTGCTGGTAGTTTTGAGTATACAATCTTTGCTTCGTGAGTGTCTTCGTCACTCTGGATGAGTATTTTACCAATCCGTATGGATCTACAACAGTCGCGGAGACCTTGTTCCATGGCTTCCCCTGCAATGAGATAACCATACTTGTTCATTAGTATTTTGCTGTTGTCTACCCATTATTTTTCCTGTTACATTCTGTGTAAGTTTGTGGCCAAATGTTACCATTCTTAACAAAATCTCACAATGAAAGACTTTAGTAAACTTTAGTTGAGAATCTGTCTCTACGTGAAACAAGTTCTCCAAAATATATTGAGCCAGGAACCAGCACAAATCTGACAGTTTTCATTTCAAAAGGAGTGCTATTGCCCATGGACAAATATATCCTTTAAGTTCCTGTGAAATGTCATTTGTGTTGAAACACTTGTAATTATGTGAAGTTATTGAAAAATGTACTTTCCATAAGTAAACAGGTCAGAAACATGGAAAAAGTTAAACTTGAACACATTCCATGAATACATTTCTAAATGACTTTTATCTTGTTTCATTGAAATGAACTCAAATTGCGCAGGGCCACATAAGTATCTTCATAAGTGCTCTATCCATTCGTTGGTTTCACATTAATTTTCGACTCGATGTGTGATGCGTAGAGCGGTTAAAAAATGTCCCCTGGACAACTTTCGGTTTGGTCGTATTACCGATATTGTAAACACACTCTAAATAAAAGCTGTATGAAGATTATTTACGTGTGACAACTGTCCATAGTTGAGTACATACATCCATTAACCTATGCATTTCAATATTTGGTGTCCTATTTTGGTGGCAATTGCATCAGAGCTGTGTTTTTTTACTTGTGAGAAGGGGATGTGCAGGAAGGACAGTGGACGGGTATAGTGGTGAGATGTGTTTATACAAGAGCTAGTTAACAAACGTTAAGCTATTTATTTAACTGATCCTGGTACCTTCCATTCATAAACGAATTGAGATCAGTTAAATTTGACATAAAACCATATATTTGTTTTGATTTTTGCTTTCTTTAGAGTGTGTTACACTATCGGTAAAGCTTACGACCAAACCGGAAGTTGTCCAGTGGATGTTTTTACACGCTCTGCGCATGCGCTCAGCGAGTCAAAAATAAATGTGAAACCAACGAATGAATGTGTAAATTGAGTAAACAGAACATCTTCCATGATGTTATGTTTACAGTGTGCTGCTGATAAGAGTACAAGTTGCCTCACCACTTCTGACAATGCTGACACCACAGTTCCCCTTCTCATAGCGTAGACCATCATATGGCTGACCTGGGGTAGTCACAAAACATGTCTCAATATCTTGAAAACACATGGTCATGATGATAGTCTCATGACTTTCATTATAACATGAAAACATGATGCCATCTAAAAAGTGTACAGATATATATTATGTTTTTTGAAAAATATTTCTCAGTAAAGTAGAAATTCTAGTAGTTTGGGCTGACTGGCTGGGTGAGTATGGTTTTACGCCGTTTTTAAGCAATATTCCAGCAATATCACGGCAGGGGGACACCAGAAATGGGCTTCACAAGTTGTACCCATGTGGGGAATCGAACCCGGGAATTCGGTGTGGCGAGCAAACGCTTTAACCACTAAGCTACCCCACCGTCCCAGGATTTGAACCCTATGAGATTAACCTATAAACGTATGAGAGCTAAGAAAGTGCTATCCAATATATAACATACACATCATGATTATCATGTCGTACAGTTCATAATAATATGATATAAGCATTTAACTGCTTGATAAGTACCTGCATCAGGTTTTCATTTATTTATCAAATGGTGAACTCAGTGAAAGATTTCCAGCATGTAATGTGACTAAGTGCTGAACACTTCTGGTTCTGCAGAATGTTTGTTTCATTAGTTCCATGAAACACAAACAAATGGTTTGAAACCGACATGTGACAAAATATGTCATTCAACGTTCAGTTGAAACAGCAATGCTCAATGACACATACAGAACTGTCAATTACTTCAATGTTTGTATTCAGCACAACTGAGTGGTAGTTTCCTGCTTGCTGTAGATATACATACCGGTAGGAGTTGTAACTACACACTTTCTGTAGGGCAGCTGATTCAGCCCCTCCTCAACCACCAACCGGATCTGAAGTAACACACAGGGTTATATTCATGATACACTGTTAACTTCGTAAACTGTATAACATAACATAACATAACATAACATAACATATAACACACACACACACACACATATGTAAGTAATTTGGCAGGCATACACACAGTAATTTAGAAGGGATTTACACTGTAATACTGTAATAACTGGCTATTGACACTGTAAAATTTGTAATTTTGCAGGAACACATATCATATACACCGGTATTTTTACCTTCACCTACAAACTTTTCTGTTCCCATCCTATATTATGTGATTCTACAAACATTTCCATGTACAACCCATTGAGTGCTGTGTAACTATTGATAAGTCATGGATTCACTACTATTACCAAGTGACGAAACAGCAGTCAAAGCAGGGAAAATATCAAACGTAACAACCTAAAAAAACCCATTGTTTATTCAATCAGCCAGCAATGTGATAGCTTCTGTCTTCTAGGGCTACTCCCTGAAATCTTCTTTAATGGTGAGTGAGTGACTTTGGTTTAACTCCGCTTTTAGCATATTCCAGCAATATCACAGCGGGTGACACCAGAAATGGTTCATAATGGCTAACATTATGCTAATCTATGGCAACTGCATGAAAATATCAAGAAAAGTCTCTAAAGTTGTACGGTTCCCCAGGACCAAGCCTGTTGTTACCAAAGTGGCAATGCATGACTATTTCTATTAATTGCCCACACTTACCAGATTTACCACAGTACAAATTCCCCCTCATATCCAGCAGGATCAATGTACTGTCTGCTAAGGATTATGCCAAAGAAGATTTTTTATGTCAAGGACTTGCATCAGCAACAGAATGCCTTCTAGACCAGTAAACAACATCATAAATGCTTTCATGCGTTTGGCACAGAACTTTTCAGTCAGCTGTTGTACAAAAACAATTTGTGCCTACAATGGCTCAATTTGAGAATGTTTACTTACTAATCGATCAGCATAAAAGATAAAGTCACTGCGTGATGTTGATCTGAAAAGAACCAAAATTTGGAAGTTAGCATGGTGAAATCATGACTACTACATACTGGACTGAACTCATCGACAAGTTCAGAAAAGGATTTCTGCTAAAAAATATGTCTTAATATCGGAGATGTGTTTTTCATAATTGTATGTTATCTGAAATTACCTATTTCGCCTACATTATTACCTGTATTACTCATTGATTCTGCTTGCAAATTAATTTTATAAAACCCCAAACATCGCTCCGAATAACTTGTCATGGTTATTAGCAATACTGACACACATCCTGCCCATACAGTCTGCCCTGTTGTCATAAACATCCGTTCGTTATGGTCAGCAATGGACTCTACGTTGGTTTACATTTACAGCCTTAGGATCAGTTTACTTCTTGTTAATTCCATTATTCTCGACTTCTGAGTGTAAAACACAATTACTATAAAAATGTAAATTACAAACATGATCAACAGATGTTGCAGAATATGATCATCATAACACAAACTTGGGAATAACTGACAGAAAGGAATGAAAGGGTTTGAAAACTACTGCAGTTATCAGTGTATGAAATATGTCCCGTCCGACCGCCCGAGATGGGCTAGATTTCTGACAGATGGTCTACATTTACAGCTGACCAGCCCAATGGTTTGGTAAAAATTTAGAAAACATGTTCCATACGTCTGAGTAATTTTCTTTGGATTGTCTGGTCTGCTTAAATCCATGTCTGGCTGGGTTTGGGGCTTATTTCATACACTGCAATTATCCACAATATTCATGAGTTAAAGCAAACTTTAGCCAGAAAAACAATGAAAATTGTGTGAGTGCAATACAAATTTTAAGTATTCTAGAGGATTTGAAATTCGCACTTCCACATCCTATCTCCAACTGAATCATTAATATCATATTCATGAGTGAGCGAGCGAGTTGGGTTTTAAACTGGTTTTAGCAATACTCCAGCAATATTTATGAAATGCCTTTGAGCATGTTTAGCAATATTCAGGCATTACCACAGATGGGAACAGCATAAATCGTACCCTCAAGATACAACCGATAGTGAAGGGGATATAGGTTTCAGCTCTGTCTGTCTGTCCTTTCGAGCTGATGAGGAAATATTTTCTCTGAAACCGTTATAGATAGGGAAACCATATTTGGTGTGTGTTTTCAGGACATGAATGTCGTGGAGGAGTTAAAAAACAGGAACCATGTGGCGGGGGATATTGATGACCATGTCGTCTTGTTTTCATTAGCATGATGAAACTGCTGGGAAACCAGATACATATTGCATATTGCTATCTCCATAACAACTGTAGAACACTTTACTAATATCAAACAATAGGCTATTTTATTAAATAGCTCTAATAGTAGTAATACTTGTCATGATGTTTAAATGACAGCTGTGGCTTTCATATTAATCACCACCAAGAAAACTACAAAAATGCATTCATACACATATCTTTGTGTATTGCAACCTGTCCTAAATAAATTTCATCTTGTTATTGCTACATGTCTACAATACACGTCATCTTGTTATTGCTACATGTCTACAATACACGTCATCTTGTTATTGCTACATGTCTACAATACACGTCATCTTGTTATTGCTACATGTCTACAATACACGTCATCTTGTTATTGCTACATGTCTACAATACACGTCATCTTGTTATTGCTACATGTCTACAATACACGTCATCTTGTTATTGCTACATGTCTACAATACACGTCATCTTGTTATTGCTACATGTCTATTGCTACATGTCTACACTACACGTCATCTTGTTATTGCTACATGTCTACAATACACGTCATCTTGTTATTGCTACATGTCTACAATACACGTCATCTTGTTATTGCTACATGTCTACAATACACGTCATCTTGTTATTGCTACATGTCTACAATACACGTAATCTTGTTATTGCTACATGTCTACAATACACGTCATCTTGTTATTGCTACATGTCTACAATACACGTCATCTTGTTATTGCTACATGTCTACAATACACGTCATCTTGTTATTGCTACATGTCTACAATACACTTCAGCTAATGTAATGCTACATAGATTCATGACAATGTTGATTTCATGTGACACTTTGGATAGATTGTCAGAAACAAACATATAAAAGCTGGAAAAGAAATAGTCTGAAAAGGTGTTTCATATTTTAATAATTCTAATTTGTCTATCAACTCTCGATTCAGTGCATGGTAGATGCATGTGGTGAAGACACATTGGTTGACTATGGAAGGACATAACATTAACAACCCTCATATGCTTAGGAAGTTGTAAATAACTGTACTTGTTAAACTTAAATCTCCAGGACAAATTATGAAAACATCGTCACATTAGAAATAACTCAATATTCTGTTTCCTTAGATGTGAAGTCTGAACTTCGCAGTAATCAACAGCAATGCAAACTGCTTCCTTCGATAATCCCAGGGTATATGTTACGATACAACTCCACTAGTACCCTGGATGCATCTGTGGCTCGGCCCAAAAATTTTATTACCTCCCTTTGCCGGCTCCGCATTCTCACACTCACAGTAGCCAATCACCTAAGCCGCCGTTACAACCGAGCTTGCCAGTGTCAACAAAGATAGCGGTCGCAGTCACCAAAGTTTGTTCGCAATGCAACTCAGATTTGGTGGGAAATCATACAGACAAATTGACAGGTCTGAAACCTTAAAAAATATATGCAAGAACTCTTTCTGCCTCTTTCAGAGTACCTCTGCAACAATTATGTTGCCAAGTTTAATCGGTTAGATAAAAGAAGCAAAAGTAAGTTGTGATTGGTACGTTCAACTTCCCAGCGTAGACACCTGATTGGATAAAAAGCCAGCCAAGGGAGGTAATAAAATCATGGGGCCGGGCCGTAGATGCATCCAGAGTATAGTGGAGATTTTATCGAGGATGTGCAAACTGATATCAACCTACTATATTTTAAAAGACCAGACAGAAGCCTACATCTATTGAACTGGCACATCTGCAAGAACACACCTCTCCACACTTACAATCGCTACAGCACGACATGTACAGCTGACATTCTGACCACGCCACTCAACTTATCATGTATATAGTGACAATCATTATCAGATGATTTCTTAACACTAAGTCACTTACTGACAATGAAAAAGTAATTGGTCATAATATACTGCTAACACATCACTACAAATGCTTAGGCCAAACACCAACCCAAAAATACAGCTTAAGTCAAACATTCAGTGATGTAATCTCAGCACTGAGATTTTTAGATGACCTGAACCAGCACAACTAAGGGAGCCATGACCTGGTCTCTTGTAGCGAGTAAGTGAGTTTAGTTTTACCCTGCTTTTAGCAATATTCCAGCAATATCACGACAGGGAACACGAGAAATGGGCTTCACACATTGTACCCATGTGGGGAATCAAACCTGGGTGTTTGCCGTGACGAGCGAACGCTTTGGCTACCCCACCACCCCTGTCTCTTGTAAGGCTCAGTCCTAGATTATCATATCTCAGCACAAAAAGATACATTCTAAAAGAACCTTTTTTCCTTGCAAATGTCTCTCAAGGTATATCAATCAGCATGAAAGAAGACCACCAACATATTTCAATGGAGTATACATATAAAAAAATAAAAATAGGTCCATGGCCATAATGGCTGCTTGATCTGTAATGATACTGACATTATGGATGCTAATTGGCCATCAAATGGGAATTTTGATTTGTCAAATTACCACCAATATACATAGCTGGCTGGTACAGCAAAAATTCAATGCAGGATAAGCCATGCTTTGAGACATAAATCTCTTGTATATCATGACAAAGAGGAGTAACGTAAATTAATTTCATACATATTACATATTCACTGCAATCAAACCAACACTAACCATTAAAACCATAAAATTTGTTTTCTTGAATCAAGATGTCTCACACACCATTTAAGCAATAACAAGGTTCATACAAATGTGGAACATTAAAATTCCATGCTTTTTCACTAAAACTTTCAGGACTTTCATAGTCATTTTCAATACCTTTTTGGGTTGGACTTAGTTTCTCAATATTTTGTTTAGTCCTACAAACAATATATTACATGATTTTCAAATAGGATCTATTTTTACAAAACATACAATAAATTGAATCTGCCAGGAAAAATAAGTACATGCATATACCAAATTCAAGCTTGATTCGTGATTTTCAATGCTGACAAATATGATACTGACATAGAGGTATTCTGAAACAAACAGTGCTCTAAAACATTTTATCGCTTGCTTTTGCTCTTGGCACTGCTTTGCATGCTCCTCTTGTTTGTTCATGAAATAGCTGTGAAAGCATTAAACTATTGCAACAGCATCTGCACCCAACTAGAACAGAACTGGAGAACCTAAAAGACAGATCCAAGCAACAGCTGGTGTTGAAATCAGTGACATCAAAATGAGGGTAAAATATGTTGAGTTCCTGTTCTAAAATTCTTACTGATGAATTAGGGGCACTAAAACATCTGACAATTTTAAGAGACATCAACATGATCAATCTTATTTCAATGGTGTCCGATGCCAACAGTATCTATATCCACCCTAGGTCAAGTAAACACAACTAAACATCATCCATACTGATAGTAGAAGCCATAGATGATGGTCCGAATGCTAAGTTCAGTATTGTAGACTCAGACGTTTTTTAACACAATATAAAGTCCACAAATATAGAATCCATATCGATCAAAAAAAAAATGGTAAATTAAATTTATTTAAGAAATATTTATTTTTCTTCACTGGAGTGACATTGAATCAAACTTACATTTGAAATATGCAGTCATTCAATTCACGAATAATCTTCAAAATTATTCAATGTTGAGCCTCCCAGCTAAACTACTGAAGTTTGTCTACTGAATGTACCGCCCGATAGATCTCTGATTACTGTCAGGTATTTGCATTTACCAAACATTGAATTCATATTTAATACCGAGATTAGGCCCCTGAGATTTCCAACAGACAGAATAAACCTGAAAGTGACATTCATTTGCGGTGATCTAACGCTGTGCGCTGTCTTGCGCTTTCAAGAAGATGCTGTGTTGACGATATTTCAATATTACACATCTCAACAAAGAATCCCGCTAAATTTGACAGCCCGCCTCTTGTGCTTCAGAGACAACATCTATACGAATCTGACGACATGCTGACTGTTGACACACAATGGCTCTTAGAAAATATGACAGAATCATATAGAAAAGAACAAAACAGTATTTAGAAGGCAATTTGGCTAGACCGGCAATATTCGAGACGAGTGCGTGGTGTGCCATGTGGTCATGTTGATTTCAATCTATCAATGAAAAAGGACACTTACTTATCCCTCAAAACGGTTTGCAATTCTCGAACATTGTCTGTTATTCTCAGTTTCTTCAGATTTGCTCCAAGTTCACAATCATCAACAACATTTGAAAGAGAATTCGGGATAACGTCTGGTTCCATGTTCATCTTTTTTCCGCTAGCATGCAACTCTGACGGATTACCCACCAGTGCACGTCACTCCGTCAAAACAAAATAGTTCCCCTACATAATCATGTCTGTGGTCTACCTGTACTTCAACTCTATTGTGGTTACTTATCATAATTATAGGTTAAACTTATATAATAAGCCTGATTATTTTCCCCTGTTATTTACCTTACGTAAACATTTGTGACTAATTCACCTTTAACCTACACAAATTGTGTTTATACGCTGATACAAGGAAGAAAACGAAACAGGTCGATGAGATGTTAGTGAGAGGGAACCTGCGGGTTACATCACTTGATTTGATAATTTTTCTTTTATCGGGAAAACACAAACATGACGTTTATCTAACATCAAATAATGCCAGCTCAATTGAAAAACGTTAATGAAAGAGTTTACACTGTTATAGGGATACGATCTTGAGTCCCTACGAAATGGTTTTGAAGTCTGACGCTCTACCACTAGACTGCAGGGCCAAACAGAATCTGGCGGCAATATCATTCATATATCCATTACTTATAAGGACTTAACATTTTAGTTGTTTACTTGACAAGTGAAAGGTGTGAGTTGCTTAAGTTCCAATTATAGGATTAATGATCAACAATTCAAAATGATATCCCGTGTTCTTATGGATGTGATGAACAGTTTTAAGAACGTACGACGATACCATTATTAGGTTCTCCATTAAAACTGAAAGGAAACACACGAAATAAGTAGGCGTTATCATTATAAGAGCGGTTAATATCCATACCAAACAAGTGTAATAAGTTCCCGCACAATACCGTATGACGTCATGCCTATCACGTCACAATGACCTGACAGAAGAACTTTATAACGATATAGCACTGGGCTGTGATAACTCCAAAACAATGTGTGAGAAGGTAGGGTATATTTTAGGCACATTATTTAACATACAATTTCCCAGCGTTACTGTTACATGTACATATGTAGAAAGTATGATTTTGACATTCATAGTATAAGTGAGGTATAAACACTCTGTTTCTATCTAATGAATATAAAAACATACAAATATTACTGTACATACAACCCAATACATCAGATGACCAACAAGGCAAGAGACGGCAATTGTTTCGCAAACTGAAAGGAGTGGATATAACTTATGGGTATTCTTCTCCCCTGAATAGTATATTAGGTATACCGACAAATGGTTCGGTATAACTTTAGGCCAAAATATTTTAGAGCATAAACTATAGTTGAATTCTAAGTTACTCTTGAGTTCTTCTTTGCAATTGCCTGTAACGCATCTCGAGTCACGTCGGAAAATAAGACTGGCAAAAAACTCATCAGCTGATAACATGACATAATTACTTGAATAATTGTGGTTGTCTTCAAACTAATGAGTAGTGATGTCGCGTGCTGACAATCAACACTATCTGACACATGTGATGGTAATTAATGAATAGTATATAGCCAAAACGTAGTAGTAATTAATCTGTATCATTGACAAATACGCAACGCACATACATCACAAGGTGACAACAGAACATGATCACCTCATGGTTGAATATAAATTTCATGTGGGTAGCTGTTTGAATACCCTAGGTTGCGAGGACCTAATCTGAGGGGCAAAGATAACACCTCTCAGTTGATTTTATCGTATGCTTGATTTTTCAATTGACAGTATGCTATGCTAGCGATGTTATATCTAAAACAATTTACTCTACTCGTGCAAAGTCAGCATTTAAACACTACTTCTGTGTGGTTTGATTTGTAATTAAAAGTACTGGCAGTAATTACATTTACAACTTTTAAGAATAAAAAGCACGTAATACACACATCGGTTGATTGGTGTCTTACACATCTTATCCGTTAATAATATATCCATTGGCATTTTTCGGCACAAATATACATTTCAAACAGGGTAGGGATGATATGATATGGCAAATTCGTCAAACCGAAACATGAATCTCACTAACCTATTCAGACAATGACCTACTTTTCAGCCGATCCGAATGTTCTCGTGTGAAAGTGAAAATAGACATCACAAACAACTATGGTTACACTGAATTCCAATTCCTTGTTTCATAAGAAAACGGTATTCACAACTGGATTTTAATGTTTAACTTTAATAACATCGTATTTCTATATTGTATGGCGACGTGTAGGCAGCACGACCTTAAAGGTCACATGCAACGTAAAACACAACTTTGCAGATTCTGATACCTTTCGGTATGGACATACCGAAACAAAGCGTCAAAAAATGCAAATTCAACTTATAAAGTTGAAAAATAACGCGATGAAAAAAAAACGCGCGAAATCGGAGTTCAAACGTTTCACTAATTTTCCCCAGACTTTTCTGGGGAATACGGGTTTCAACAGCTGGGCTGCGCTCATAGCATGTGCGCAGTGAAATAGGTTCGCGCAACTTGGAAGCGGGCTGTCTGGTGAATACTCGGTGAAGGCTTTGGTGTGAGCTATTTTCCTAATGTTTTGTTGATATCTCACAGGTGCGAGCTTTTTATATGTTATGACAGTAAATAAACTGTTTATATAATTTCATTTGTCTATTTCACCACACGTTCTTCTTACCGAGTCACTTTCTCAGTTCGATACTTAAAAGCAATGTCATTATTTAGCGTTGACACAATTTCTAACTGTGATATAGATATGTCGCTGTCACAGACAAAACTCAATGTCTTGTTTTATTGACACCTGTGTGTCTGCCTGCCTGTCTGCTAATGACAATATTCAATACACAACTGCGACCACTGACCACATGCAATTTGAACTTAACACCTATCAGGCTATACACCATAAACAAAACGCATTGATTTATGGCCCGAGTTCGGTCTCTGTCACATTATGTAATTACACAGACAGGCAGGTGTGATACTTGAACACATGACATGTTATGATGTCTGTTGATTGCAAAATGTTATACACACAAAATGAGCATGTATTTACAAAACCCAACATCTCTACATATATATATACACACAATTAGCCGTGAAGGCATCTGCAAATGAACCAGCCGTTACACTTGAGTGCACACCCACCCGCTCTGACTGGGTTCGGTATCCCGGCTGCTTCGTTTCGAGGGAGGTAAACCCAAGTACAAAATATTGCACATTTGATTTGCGATTATACGCTTATAATTTTGTTTATTTGTCTTTTCATAATCAGCAATGCATATTATATGTCATGAAGAAGTGATAATTGTGTTTTAATTATGTTTGATTTTTTGGTTGCATGTGACCTTTAACTAAGACGTATCAGACTGCCCCAGTTTGATGAGGTCGTAAAATGATTCACAATGCATCTGGCTCACTGGTTACACCTGTTATGTGTTTTTGCGCTTATTCAGTGTAGTTCTGTAACGCACAATGTGATTGATATAATATCAAGTCCGTATCAGACCGCAAAAACTATTCCAGCGGGAGAGCCTCGTTTTAAGATTTCCTGTCAGTGCTCGCTGTACGAGAGAGCATGCTGCACGACATGTTTGCAAGGATTATAAGGAGCGTAGTGTTACAATATACAAGTGCTTAGATGTATCAAATAATACTGATTAATATTTATGTATCCAGTTAAATGATAGGGTCTCAAAAGTCTGGACTGGTTATTGTATTTGGTTGCACAATAGGACGGAACCCAGTCAACAGGACACGAGACTGTTGAAGATAGATTATCTTTATTTCCTCAGAAAATATGAAGATTGTTACATGTTACAACAAAGTGTCAAGTTGAATATACAATGACTCAGTAGAAAGTTAATTGTGCAGATATTTTAGAGTGACAGACTGACATAAAATCAGCCACTAATGACATAACTTCCCCCCATTCTGTCATATTTAAGTTACCAAGTGTTTTACAAGATCCACCAAGCAAATCAGCAATTATATCATTGTCATCATTTTCCCAAAATTCAACAAAATCAGATATTGATATAATATAACAAATCCTCTCAAACATTTCATTTCTCAAATCATTAAGATGTGTACAGGACATAATAACATGTTTAACAATATCAGAAGCTACTATTCCACATATACACTCTCTGGATTCAATCTTTTTACGGCCAATGTGAATAATATGAGAGATTTTGTAAAATTCATGCTTATTAATTAAGGCTAGTTCCCACAGTCTACTTGGATTAAAAGGATAGTTACTTAGCTTAATTGAAGCCCATCTTTCAATTCTAGACAAAAGGAGACGTTCAAATAGTTTCCTATAGTGGATGTAAGGGTTATCCCGCGGTAATATTGGAGGGGTCACATTTACTTTTCCCTTTCCCTTTATGTATTGGTATGATATGTCCAATATTATATATCTCTGGGATATACTCATACTTTAAGATGTTATTAAACAGGACACAGAGCTGGGATGTTAGGGACCTGCCTGTACACTTTAAGTGCTCATTACACAAGCGATCAGGGTCAGGAGATTTGCCATTCTTAAGGCGTTTAAATGTCGTTTTAAGAGACGATTTCATCACTGGTAAATGGAAAAATGGAACATCCAATATTTCTTGGAAACTATCTTGCTTGTTGTGAACAATAGAAGAAATTTCCTCACAGACACCCTTTTCAAAACCATGATCATAATCGTCTAGTTCAGAAGGTGTAGCTAGTTTACTGAAATATTTTCCAAATGAGTTACATATCATTATAATAATACTGATTAATATTTATGTATCCAGTTAAATGAATTGGTCTCCAAATTCTGGACTGGTTATTGTACTAGGTTGCGCAATAGGACGGAACCCAGTCAACAGGACACGAGACTGTTGTGTAATCAATGTTTTGAATTGTTTTACCCAAGTCTTCACTGAACCAGTTTATGTTTGCACATAATTACCCAACTACCGATTAAGTTTCACAAACTATTGCAGGAATCAGTGATGGTTAAATGTACATAGCCAATCTTTCACAACACTTCTTTCATTTTGTATAAAGAACAAACTAATTTTACTTTCCTTTGCCCTGAATTTATGATGTCAGTGTGAAATATTACGTATTTTCTTTATAATTTGTATGACCAACCTTAGTTTCATTAAGTATATGTTTTATCTC